TATATATGGTGGTGGCCATCTTGGATTTTGACGTGGCCACCCAATTTTCAAAGGGGCCCTTTTGTAAACCTAGATGCAGTCACATCAAAATGAAAGTCAGTACCTCCCTTATTTTTAAAGTTATTCAGCTCACAGGATGGATGGGTGGACAGACTGAGGGTATATCCAAGTCCCCTCTTCGTTCTGTGGCGGGGGACAAAAAACGCTACAGCTCAGTCAGTTTCACATAGACTGAGAGCTAAAATGTGGTGAGATAGTAGCTGCAACTGACCCCTAACTTGCACTTTAAATGCAACACTTTGTGTGGCATATTTTCTTAAAACCTCGGCATTTGAGTCAACCATGTTTGTCAGTTAGCAAAACATCACATAATACACTGGACAGATATCAACGAAACTTTCAGTGAGTCCTTATTTGTTGTACATCTGCTAATCAACCTAATTCAAGATGGCCACCACAGCAAGTCAACCATAGTCGATACAAAAATGGCCATAATTCTGTTAAATAAACAAATACTGAACTAAAATTTGTTGTGATAGAAAACTGACAGTCAATCACGCCAAGCATTTCAACAGATCATACTAAATCAAGTGAGTTGTTGCATGAGTGTCCGTTTTATTTACTTCAATGTTTGAGCTAAATGGCTGTAAGTACTAAGAACTCCAAAGTGTATAAAATAGTCGTAGTCTAAAACTTTGGCATGAAAGGCAGCGGGCGATGTGCATTTCTTCAAGGATTGCTAGATATCTTTTATGAAAAAAATCTGTTCAGGTTTGTTTCTTGAAGCTGAACATCTTTCTCTGATCCAGATCCATTAACTTCCATCAGTGTGACTGCAGGCATCCTAACCTTGCGCCTGCATGCGTGTACGGATCAGCGCCAGGGGGTAACTCGCCAGCTGTCCACAAGTGCTGGAGAAAGCACCGCATCCAACCAAAACCATCACCCCCGGGTCGACCACACCTCTGTTCCTGTTGAGCCACGTAAACTTCAGAGTCTGTGCAAGAAAAAAGGGCGAGGGAAATGTAAACAGAGAGAACAGGCACCATGGCGTGAGCTGTTAGCGTCTCCGACCTCATAGACTGCCAGGTCGATGCCAGCGTATGGGACGATACTCAGCAGGTTGGGGACATAACCCTTGTAGAAGGCGGTGACACCCTCCCTCTGCAGGATCTGTTTGGCACAGTCTGCCATTCCTGAGTACTGACCAGTTTTCCTCAGAGTCAGACGGGTCTTTAACACCTGAAGGGAAGATGATGGATGTCAGAGAGAAATGGAAAGCATCCATTTATTGCAATCCATGAAGTGCATTATTTCCTTGCAGTGTGTACGTGCAGAACCCGGACTTTACCTCCATCGGATAGACGATAGTTTGAGCTGTTGCTCCGGCCAAAGAACCAGCAACAAACCTCTCATGAATCCTCAGAGTTCTGGTTTCATTACTGCCACGCATCACACTCTTGATCTGTGGAGAACAGAAAGAATAAAATAAATTGATTTATTTTAGTAAAACATCATATGAGCTCATTCTTTGATATAAAAAAAAGTGTTTGATTTAAAGAAGGCCGGATGGTGCTGAAATTAGAAAAAAATTACACGAGAAGATGTCAGGATTCCAGCATATTTTAAAATTAAGATTATAACTATATGAAAATATGTTAGCCTCTTTGTAAAACAGAAATTAAAGGCGTTTGTTGAAGGAAAACATTTTTCCCGCTGCCTTTCATGCCAGAACTTTAGACAAAGCTCATCTTATGGTGAGAAATGACAGTAACAGCAGTCCCTCACTTATTGCGGGGGTTACGTGCCAGACACCCCCTCGATAGGTGAAAATCCACGAAGTAGGGACGTTATATACGTTCTGATTTACCTCATTTTGTATTTTGCTTTGTGTGTTACCTGTTGTTTTGTCTGTACAGCACTTTGGTTGGCTTTTAGCTGTTTTAAGTGCTTTATAAATAAAGTGGTATGGTATGGTATATTTATTTTAGTATTTATATATATTTTAAGGCTTTATAAACCCTTCCCACACTCTTGCAATGTTCTTAACAATGTTCTAAACTCTCTAAAAGAATAAAAGAACCCAGTGAAAGAGAGCAGACAGACTGATGATACAGTTACTGAGCCCTGGGGGCAGGCTGCCATCGAGGCTCAGGTTCGAGTAGCGCTTGATCATTTTAAAATAAACAATCCATGCTGCTCGTGCAGCTTATTCAGGTATAAGACAGACCCCCCTGTCCCCTCCATTCTTTTTCCGAGGCTGTCTGTTTCGCGCCTGCCCGTTGTCTGTCTCTGGGACACGATGGGGGAAGACAGATCCCGCCCCCTCCTTTCTCTTTTTCTGCTGTGACAGACAGCCTTGGAAAGAGAAAGGAAGGGGTGCAGATGAACAAATGTAGAATGTCGGAGAAAATGCTTAGGTGGAAAAATAAAAGTCAATTAATTTTAAAAAAGGGAGAATGGCTGAGCGTGGCTCACTCAGGTATAAGACAGACCCCCCCCCCCCCTCCTTTCTCTTTCTGAGGCTATCTGTCACAGCAGAGAATGAGAAAGGAGGGGGTGGGGGCTATCTTTCCTCATTCATTGCCAGTCGTGTGTCGTGTACAATCTTACAATGAAAACCCGCGAAAGAGTGAGTTTGTGAAAGTCAAACCACAAAGTATTGAGGGAATACTGTGTACTCAGTTTGATCAAACCTCAAAAATAACATTTTGTGCAATCTCATGCAATACTGTGAGGTGTCACGCTCAGAGTACATGTTGTTTCTGACTCTCAGCTACAACCACATCACATTTAACTGAGATCTATAAAATGACTGAATTACAGTGTAGCCATTTTTGTGTTTTGTGGCAGCTATTTGAATTGAACTTATTCCAAAACGTAATGAGCTGCACAAGTTCAGTGATTACTGAAGAGTCTGTCCAGTAGTTCATAAAATATTTTGCTAACAATGATGCTGATAGCAATGTTAGACAAAACAGACAGGCAGAAAGAAAAGACGTAGAAGTTCTTGTAAGTCAGTTGAGCTGCTGTTTTTAGCTGATAAAGATAAAGTCTAATTTTTCAACCAAAGAAGATGGTATTGATTTTTTATTTTTTTTAATAACAACACACAATTTTCTTGTGCATTTAACAGGTTAAAACTGGCCACAAGTAGGCCCAGAAAAGTGCAGTTAATAAAGTGTTAATTCAGCCAGTGGAGTGAAAGCATGGATAAGATGTTTCAGAAGTCTTCACCTGCTCATAAGCTGTGAACTTGACTGCAGTCTCAGGAGCGATTTTCAGAACGTTCATTCCATTTCCCCTCCACAGCGACCACGGACCTCCTTCTTTCAACATGTACCGAAAACTGCTCAGCACATTTCCTTTAAAATCAGAGGAACCGTGGACCTGGAAGAACACAGCAAGAAAAAGGGTGTAATAACAACCAACTGAACCTACTAAAGTCTGCATGGGGAAGGAATCAAACTCTTTCAGACTGACCTGCCGGAAGACTTTGAGCCGGTCTAATGGGGCGGTTCCAGTCCGTGACACAGATCCAGCCACAGCTCCAGCCATCAGCTGCCGCCACACAAAACCTGATTTCTTCTCCTCTTCTGAAAAATCATCTGGGACCATCAGCTGTTCACCTGTATCCAACATCTACTGAAACCACAATGATCAATAGGTGTAAAAATGAGGAGCGCTGTATGTTATTGATATTAACAGAATTATATATACTTTATATATATATACATATAATATACA